GCGCGTGGGGCGCAGAGTGCGGGCAGAGCGGGTGCGGGCGGCGCGCAGCAGCGGCTCGGGCGGGTGCGGGCAGGGCCGCCCCGGGGGGTGTCGGAACGGAGCCCCGGTAGTCGAAAGTCGCGTTTTAAGGACTGGCCTGATAGATTACTTTCTACTTAAAGATCCGGCGGGAGGCGGGGCCACGTGACCGCGCGTGACGTCAGGCCTCCGCGGAGCCGGCCAAACTCAAGTTGGTCCCGGGAATTGTCAACAAAGGGGCGAGGGACGCGCCACTCTGCGGGCCCGTGGGCCCCACGCACCCCGGCCCGGTGCGAGTGGGCTGGGCCAGGCCGGGAGGGGGCCGAGCGCGTCCGCGGGGCCCTACGCCCTCTGCGACCCCACCCGTTCCATCCCGGACGTGGACGGGCCGAGGACAGCCAGGTGCCATCTCGGGTTGGGGGGGACAAACTTACCAGCATCTTTTGTTTATCGTTTCAGCTCCAGAGGGCGCGGGGAGCGCGCGGGGTACCCCCGCCAAGTCGAGCCCGGCCCGCCGGGGGACACCTCCGGCGCGCGCCCTCCCGCCAGTCCTGCGTCCCCGCTGGGCCCACCCACGTCCCGGCACGGTTTTCTGTTTTTTTCTGCGCGTTCGTCGCTGCATCAGCTGGGATTCCCAAAGGTCAGAAAGTAGCTATCGATTAATCTATTTGAACAGTTGCGGAGAGAAATAAAAACGAAGTAAAAGAACAGGCAACTTATAAATGAGGAAGCGGCGGCCTTGGCTTAGAATTGTTACCCGGCTTAGCATATGAAAAAGTCGGAAATGCGGTGCCGCCCGGGCCGCTGCGGGAGAGCCGAGGCCTGAGCCACTATTAGACGCCGCGGGCTGGGGCTGGGTCCCCTTGGCTGCCCAGACGCGCCTTTCCTCTCAGAGGGCAGGGACCCCGGGACGCGCGTGCAGAGCTCCTCGCAGCAGAGTCAGCGACTGTAGGAAAGAGCCTGGGCTCCCAGGGGGCGCGGCGAGGGGGCGTGGGGACCTCGCGCCGCCCCGAGAAAGCCACGGCCCAGCCCGCGCCCCCTCCCGCTCCGAGCTGCCCGGCTGTGAGGTCGGCTGGAGTGCGGAGTCCGTGTCACCCACAGGTTCGGGCCTGGGAGGCCGGGCTCGGAGGGACGAGGCCCAGAAGAGAGGCTGAGTGGAACGTTTCAGGGAGGCTCTGGGAAGCCGACCTAACTCTGAGAACTGCTGCTTGATTCCCAACCTGTCCCACTGAGCACGCTCTTTCCCCCGCGCACCAAGTAAGTAAGAATTCAAGATCGCGCAGCCTGCTCCCTGACTCGGGCAGATTGACTCTTCCCCCAGTTTCCCCGGATGTAACCCCAGCCTTTGGGTTCCTTCTTGCCTAGTGTCTCGCCTAGTTGGGGCTGGGGGGCAGGGTAGGCGCAGTGACTCCGCCCTGAGGCTGTCCCTGAACCTCCACTGTCTCACTGTTTGCAGATGGTCTTGGGGTCACCCTGGCTCCCAAACACATCTCTGAGTTATTTCCGCAGCTATCTCAGGTTGGCCTGCCGACTCCAAACACGTCTAGACGGCCTCCCGCAAAACCCATTCGAGCTTCGAGCCGGCCTCCCACCTTCTCCGCTGCAGAGGTAGCCATTGCCACTGGCCGAACACCAAGTCCAAGCAAGGTCGGACGGAAAAGGAAAAGCTGCCGAAATTGGCACATTTCGAAACTCTTTTAGTCTAGTTTGGGGTGCCCGACCCCTGTCAGGCGCGGCCCGCTTGGTCCTGGGCTAGGCCCGCGTGGATGTTTTCAAGCGTATGCGTTCGAGGGTAGCGGCTCGGGTGGCCACGCCGGTCACTTTGAGGCCGTCCCCAGACACACCGCGCCTGGGTCCCTGAGGCCCGGTCTGAGCACGCAGTCCCTGGAGAGGGGTTGGCGAACAACGCCCAGCTGCCGGTTCCATTTGTTGCGCTTTTCTCCTTCGACACAATAAAAGTCAAATTAATTGATTCATACCATTAATTACGGTTCGTAGCGTGAAAAGCAACGCTTCCCCTCGGTGAGAGACCTATTGTGCTAATCTCGTGTTCAATCAGTGTTGCCATCTGATGCCGGCTCGGCCCTGGCAGGAACTTTTCGCCTCGATTAGCTGAATGATGACTCGCGCAGGGCCCTCTGGCTGCGGCCTCGACGCCCTGCATCGATTTCCCGCTGGGCTACGGGGTTCCCGCGGCCACGGTTGCCGGGAACCCGCCGCCGCCTCCTCCTCGCCGGCCGCCGGCCCGCACCACCTCCGGGGCGGGGACAGCGGGGTCCAGCTCCAGGCCGCCCAGATTCCAGGCCCAGTAAGTCCCGTTCGCCGGGAAACAGCAGGCTGCAGCTGAAAGCCCCCAGGTCGTCGGCCACCGCCAAACTTTAAAAGTGAGACAGATATTAGAGAACAGGGGTGCGAGGCAGGGAGAAGTGCGGTGGTGGGAACGGAAACCAGAGTGGGACAGGAGGCCCCAGGGAGGTGGGCGACGGGAGGAGAGCGGCGAGTAGGGCACACGACGGAGGGACACTGCGGTCCCAGCGAGCAAGGGGCGGGAAGACGACGCTGCTTCGTCCGCCCCATTGCGGGGACGACGAGCCCAGACAGCGGAGACTGAGCCTCTTTCCGGTCCTCTCCGGCAAACGCCGCTGAGTGCACGGGACCCGGGAAAGCCAGGAGAATGGAGTCGGGGAAGATTCGTGCGTGCGTCCGGGACGGGGTGGGGCGGGGACCGTTTAGGAGGGCAAAAGTGGACATTAATTACAGCCCAGTTTGAGTCCTTAGTGGTCAACACCGCGGCACACGCAGGGCCACCCTCACCCTCCACAGGCCGATGATCCAGGTGCGCCCTCTTCTCTCCCGGAGCCAAGTCTGGGCAACCTCGGGCTGCCCGGTGCGGTAGGACGCGCTGCCCTGCGCGCAGAGCGCCTTTCTCCTAACCCGGGGAACCGGCCAAGCTCGCTGGGGGACAGGCGTGGGCAGTCTTCGCAAGAGCCCCTTTGCCAGCCGCTGCGGCCTGCTCCTTGGCCACCGGCATGGTCTCCGCTAGCCGCTGCCCGATGTCTTTGTCCCCGAGGCTGCTGGCCGAGTGAGGTGGGCAGGGGACAGGTGGCACCTAGGTCCCCAACCCACCCGACGATCTCCATTTCCAGGGGTGGATTTCGAATTGCTCCTTAGCCCCCTCCCTTCGGATTCCTCTTGAGGGAGGGAGGCTAATTTCAAGTCCTTGTTTGGGTTTGTGTCTCCAAACTTCATTTATTTCCAGTGTCTGCCACTCAAGAGTCTGCGCCAAGCCACCCGGTAAATGGCGAGAGACCAAAAGGAAGGGAGAAGAGAGGGGCAGAGGAAGGTTCCGAATTTATTTATATTGGAAATGTATAAACACCCATTCTGTAAAAGGCAACACGTTTAATTAACGACGAGAGAGCAGTCAGGGGCAGAAAGCTAGTAAAATTGTGTGATAAATTTATGGCATTGTTAGCGTGCTTTTAATTATGGCTATTATGTTAATTATTTCACATTAGCATGGAGTTATCAGCAGCATGTCAGATTTAATCAAAACGAGCCTTTCTCTCGAAAATTGTTCTTTTCATCGCGAGGAGAAAGGCCCCGGGCAGGCCCGGGTTGGACCGCCTTGACGGGAGGACCAGGCTGCGTTTTTAGGAATTCGCCTTCCACCCCACCATGCGGGTCTTCTGTCAAGCAACTCAGCTCGCCCGCGCCGCAGCCGGGAGGCAAATGGGGCCACGCAGGCCGGAGGGGACCCGCGCCCAGGTGTGGTGGCCGGGTGTGGCCTCGCCCCGCTCGCCTGGCCGCATCGATTTCTTAATCACCGCCAATCGATTTATTGGGGCGAATAAACAGACAGGTTTGGAAACGTTTCCATCGTGGGCGTAAGGGTCGGGCGCTGCCGCGGGAGGGCGCGGGCCTGGGCACCCGGAGGACGAGCACCCCCTTCCTGATCCCGACCCCGACTGGCACCTCCAACCCGCCGCCCAGGCCCCGCGCCCAGCTCCCTGCCCCGGGAAAATCTCCCGAGTCCACAAGGATTCCAGTCTCCCGGGAGCCCCCAGACCCTGAATCGGACCCGCGCCCGCAGGCCTCCAGGCCTGGCACCCGGCCACCCCCGGCCTCGCGGCCTCCTGCCCGGGACCGTCACCCTTCCCGGCCGGGCTGTGCGTCGCCAGCTGCTGCCTTATTTTTAGCTCCAGCCCTGCGCGAGGTTATATTTAACTCGATCCGCTCCCGCGAGGAGGGCGCGCGGACACCGAATTCCCCGCATCGCGCCGGGCCGCCCTCCCGGCCCGGGCCAGCTCCTTAGGGGCGGTCAGGAAAATCCCCGCACAGGCACCTGGGCCATCCCCGAGCTGGCCGAGGACGCGGGGATCGGCGGCCTCTGCGGGCCCGCCCTATGGGAGGGGAGGGGGCAGAGACCCTCGGAGCAGCGGGCATGTTTCCTCCTTCTGCAAAGCCTGGGGCGCCTGAGCGACCTCTTGCAAGCCTGGTCTTTGAAATGTCATATATTTGGCTGGGCACAGTAATCTCAGCAGTCAGGGAGGCTGAGGCAGGAGGACCCCAGGTTCAAGCCAGGCTCAGAAATTTAGCGACTTATAGGAGAACTTGTTTCTATATAAATAAATAAATAAATAAGGATAAAAAAGGATTTGAGGATGTAGCTTGGTGTAAAAGCTTTGGGTTTAATCACCAGTAGCACAAAAGGGACAAGGTTATGATTTTGTTTTTTAGGCAGGAATCCCTTCTCCATCCTATTCCCTTACATTCCCAAAAGAACCCTCCACGTCCCCAATAATATATTGGTGTCTCAGCTGGGTCTTCACTGGACAGCAGCGCAGAAAGAGGCTGGGAGCGGCTAAGGTACAGAGATGTGTTGAATATGCCGGGTCTACAAAGGCCAGAGTAGACTCAAAACGCAGGCAGGCTGTTCTTGCGGCCGGGCCCACACACAGATACGACCAGGGGCAGCAAAACAGAGCTTGAAAATTTGAGTTCTCCTCTTTTAAAAGAAATGACTTTTCCCCTGCAACTCCAAAATGGGTATTTCTGACACCCTCTTTTCATAGGTCTCCCTGCAAAAATATAGAAATTCTTCCACAGCTGAATTCGGGAGAAGAGGACATATGCTTATACAATGCCTTCTTTTCTTGGTAGTTTTGTTTGGATTTCTTGAGACAGTCTTGCCACATGGCAGGCTGGCCTCAAACTCATGGCCGCTGTCCTCCTGCCTCAGCCTCCCGAGTGCTGCCATCACAGTGTGCACCGCCACCTCCGAAAGGATGCTTGGCTTCAGGCATGGGGTGACCAGCATGTGACAAGACCCTGGAGGGCATGGAGGGAGCGCAGGAGTGGGGAGTGGGCCTGCCTAGGAGTTGTACCTGGCCCTGTTAGACCTCAGGTTCTTCAAGAGGGGCACACACTGCGGGAGGGAGGAAGGAAGGAAGGAAACAAGGAAAGGAGGGAGGGCTCTGGGAGGCACTGAGGGCAGCTTCCACTTTCTGACCGCAGCCTGTGACCCCGGGACTTGTGTGACCTTGCCCTGCTCCACGGAGGCTGGCGCTGGAGTGAGGGCCGAAAGAAGCCAGAGCCATCCGCGCTGCGCTGGCTCTGCGAGGAGTTTTGTTTTGTTTGGTGTTGGCGACGGGACCCAGGCGCTTTGTGATGCTCAGCCTCCTCTGCCCCACCAGCCCTTCTCCTGTGTGCCTTTTTTTTTTTTTTTTTTTTTTTTAATTTTCTGAGACAGGATCCTGCTATATAGTTCATGCTGACCTTAAAATCACTATGGAGGGGAATGGCGAGATGGCTTAGTGGTCTAAAGCACTTACTTAGAACAAGCTGTAGGGAAGCACAGGGACCATGGTTCACACGCACGCACAAATAAATAAAATTTTAAAAAAATCACTATGGAGCCAGGGCTGATCTTGGACTCGCAGCCATCCTCCTGCTTCAGCCTCCTGAGTGCTGGGATCACAGGTGGGTCACCATGCCCTTTTTAATTTTTTTTTTTAATTTTGAGACAGGGTCTCCCAAAATTGCTAAATTGCCCAGGCAGAACCTAGGAGGTGTGTAAGCAGTTTCCCAAAGGAAATAACCTTTGAGCTCCTTAGAATGGTGTGTAGCAGTTAGGTAGATCACAACTTCTGATCCTCCTGCCTCAGCCTCCCAGACTGTCGGGGCATCTGGTTTGCTCTTGGCTCCCTGGCCTCCGGCCAACCACCTACAGGTGTGGGGCTCAATTCAGGCCAAAGGGTGAGACACACTGGACAAAGCCCCACTTTGCTGGCCTATGGGTGGAGGAGACAGCAAGTGGCGTGGTAATGTGCTTGTCACCATAGGAGGCAGCTGTGTGCCCGAAACCCAGCAGGCTCCTGGTGTCGGCCCAGTGTCCATCAGCACCGCTAAAGTGTTTGCAATCTGTGATTGGCACGATTAAGAAAGATGTTTGAGCCAGATGTGATGGCTCATGGCTGTAATCCCACCACTGTGGAAGCTGAGGCAGGAGGATCTCCATGAGTCTGAGGCCAGCCTGGGCTACAAAATGAGTTCAAGGTCAGCCTGAACTTCACAGAAAGACCCTGACTTGGAAGGAAGGAAGAAAGGAAGGAAGGAAGGAAGGAAGGAAGGAAGGAAGGAAGGAAGGAAGGAAGGAAGGAGAAAGAAAGAAAGAAAAAGAGACTCCGGAAGACTCCTTTGAGGTGCAGGAAGGGTAGCAAGGGGCGACTTGTGTCCCTTAGCAAGAGGCAGCGAGGGTGCGGCGTGGGCTGCCAGCGCAAGGCAGGGCTGAGGTGCACAGGAGGACGTGGACGCTCAGGTCTGCAGCACTGGGGTTTGCATGCACTGGAGCCAGCAGTCCTCCCAGGCGGGAAACGCATTGTCCCTGTCCCAGGAGCACACTGAGAGAGCGGGGGTCAGCCTGCAGTCCCTTGTTCAGTTCTCACCATGAGCCCC